TTTCAGATTTTGAATTTTCTTATTTTTATTTTTTGAAACCGAGTCTTTCTCTTACCCAACCTGGAGTGCAGTGGTGCAATTATAGCTCACTGTAACCTCAAACTCCTAGGCTAAAGCGATGCCTCCCTCAGCCTGTGGCTGAGACTACAGGCACCACCATGCCTGACTAAATTTTAAATTTTTTGTAGAGATAGAGTCTCACTATGTTGTCCAGGCTTGTCTTGAACTTCTGGCCTCAAGTAATCCCTTCACCTCTGCCTCCCAAAGCACTGGAATTACAGGCATGAACCACTACACGCTGCCCAGATTTTGGATATTCTAATTAGGTATGCCCTGTACGCTAATTTTTTTTCCCCTGTAGGTAAGGTGTGGCTTTTCTCTGACTGCTTTTCAGACTTTTCCCTTGTATTTAGTTTTCAGAAGTTTGATTATGATGTGTCTTAACATGAATTTCTTTCTGCTTATCTTGTTTGGGGTATGCTCAGCTTCTTGAATTCATAGGCTTATGTCTCTTGGAAATTTGGGAAGTTTCCAGCCATTATTTATTTGAGTACTTTTTCAGTCCCACCCTCTTTCTCTCCCTCTAATACTCCAATAACATGAATCTTTTGTTATAGGCCAGGCTTGCTGGCTCATACCTGTAATCCCAGCACTTTGAGAGGCCAAGGGAGTTTCAGAGCAGCATAGCAACATAGCAAGAACTCATCTCTAAAAAAAAAAGGATTAAAAATAATAATTCTAAAATGTCAGCCACCTTAGTAGGACATTTTTGTATAATGTCATAAGACTCTAGATCTTACTTGTAATCTTCTGTTTTACCTAGCTTTTATTGGCATTGCTCTGCCAGCGGAAGTAGGGATACCACCTCATCATGCTTGGTGGAAGTAGAAGTCCAGGCTTCCCAGTTGGCTTCCCGTGACACCCAAAGGCGGGGAGCTTCTTGACTCTATTTTGAGGAAAAACAGTGTACATAGTTGATCAAACGTGAATTACTGTTGATTTTCATGATAGAATAGCCGCTTAAAAGAAGAACAGATTTGGCACATACGGCATCTACTAAAGGAACTGAGTGAAGAGAAGGCAGAGGGATTGCCAGTTGTAACAAGAGAGGATGTTGAAGAAGCAATGAAGGAAAAATGGAAGTTTGAAAGAGACCAGGAAAAAAACTTGAGAGGTGATTTAGGAACATAGAAAACTATCATAGAGTTGTGCCAAGCTATTTCTTGAATATATTAATGCTTTATTCTTCCAATATGTTCCAAGTGCTGTGAGTGTATTTTAAATGGCATCATTACCACCACAACCACAAACACATGTAGGTAAATGGGCAGGAGAGGGAAATAATAAAGTGAGTAGAGGTAATGAAGCCAAACAAGGAGGTGGAAGAAGGGTAGTGATCAAAAACAGATGAAATTTATCTGACTGTTTTTTAAGATAGGGTATAGTTCAGTCACCCAGGGCTGGAGTGCAGTGGTGCAATCTCAGCTTACTGCAATCTTAACCTCCCAGGCTCATGCAGTCCTCCCACCTCAGCCTCCCAAGTAGCTGGGACTCCAGGTGCACACCACCATGCCTGCGAATTTTGTTCCTTTTTCGTAGAGATGAGGTCTTGCTATGTTGCCCAGGCTGGTCTTGAACTCCTGGGCTCAAGGGATAGTCCCACCTCAGTCTCCCAAAGTTCTGGGATTACAGGCATGAGCCACCACGCCTGGCCTCATCTGACTCTTACAACAGGACAGTATCCTGTTAAACACCGTTACTCATAGTAGGATTTTGTTCTTTTTCTTTTTCTTTTTTAATTCTGTTGTTTGGTGGTTTCATTGGCTTCAGCTTCAGTTTAGATTTGGGAATGACAAGGCGAATATAACCATGAAAAGTGTTTCCCCCAATATCTCTAAGGGAGCCAAGCACCCCATTAGGGGGAAATAGGGATTAGAGTTGGGAAAGGGGAAGTTTGGAGAACATGGGTAGTAATGACACTAGGTGCAGGCAATGAAAGACCCAGGGCATACTTTTGTTGTAGGCTTAGGAAATACTATGGTACTGAGGGTAAATCATGCAGTTCTGACATACTTATTTTGAAATTCCTATTCCTTCATTCTAAACTTGCTGCTAAGATTTCTAGGACCACTTTTTCCAAAACCTCCATAAATAACATCCCTGCTAGGAAGCTGGAAAACACGAGAAAGAGACCTAAGTGCTATCATTTGTTAGCCCTTAGGAAATCCATGTATTTCTGGATTTCTCCAAGTGCCTACTTAGCTGAGCACTTTGCACAAAGCAGACCCTCCACTCAATAGATATTTGTTGTTTTGAGTGAAATCATTTCCAAGACCAAACATCAATAGGCAAGTTTCATTTTTAGGGGAGTCCAAAACTGTTCCCATAGACCTCCTCCTACCCAAGTCTCTTCACTGGCAATACGGATGTCATGACATGGTAGATAGTATATTTTGCACGACTTCTTTCCAAGAGAGTTTTGCTTATGTTTGGAAGGAATACTTTAATAAGTCCCTTGAGATGGGAGTGAGACCCCAAAGGATGCTCAGGTATACTCGCTAAACTGCCTTCTAAAGGAATGGGCCCAGTTAGTTGAGATGCGCCTGTTTATGGTTTGGGCTGAGCATGGGGATGTGTCATACAAGACTGGGCCACACTGCATGGCTAAGCACAGTAGAGGAGGACTGGACATGTATGGGAAGAAAGGAAGCTCACAGACATGCAGGAAGAAAGGGAAAGTAAGAGAACAGAAGTGTCTGGAAAACATTTCCAAGGTAGTCACTTTATGTCCCAGGTAGTCCCTTGCAACTCATTTTGGTGTGGAGCAGCAGCAGGTGCTTCACCTGTCAGCTTGTTAGAATGCCAATTCCCAGGCCCCACCCAGCCCTACTGAGTCAGAATCTGCATTCTGACAAGATCCTGGGGGATTCCTATGCACAGTAAGGTTTGAAAACTACTGCTGCAACCCTTTTCATCCAACTTTTAGTAAGGGCTCTTTCAGTTGCAAGGATAAAAAATCTAACTCAAACTAGCCTAAGCATAAAGGGGATGTTAGTCTTTTCACATCATTTAACACAGAAAGAGTGTTTCTCACCTGGATGCAAGGCCTCATAGGCTGTCAGATCTCAGCTTAAACAAACAAAAATCTCTGGGGCATGTGTGTTACTAGAAGGGAAGGGAAAAGGTTCTAAGAAAGTAGAAAAACAGCCACTACATCCATCTCCCTTTTACAGTCTTCAGTGACATCTACCAACCCTCCCCTCAAAGGCCAAATGGGGCACAGGCCTGAGACAGTAGCAGTCTGCTCGAATGAGAGCAACTGCCCATCTAGGTTATAGTAGTATTAATAATTGTTTAATGAAAATAACAAGCACCATTTGTTAAGAGATTTTAAATATAGTATCTTGTGGCCAGGCCCGGTGGCTCACGACTGTAATCCCAGCACTTTGGGAGGTCAAGGCGGGCAGATTGCCTGAGGTCAGGAGTTCGAGACCAGCCTGGCCAACATAGTGAAACCCTGTCTCTACTAAAAATACAAAAATTAGCTGGGCGTGTTGGCGGGTGCCTGTGATCTCAGCTACTTGGGAGGCTGGGCAGGAGAATCACTTGAACCTGGGAGGCGGAGGTTGCAGTGAGCTGAGATCATGCCATTGCACTCCAGTCTGGGCAACAGAGTGAAACTACATCCCCCCCAAAAAAAAAGAAAATTAGTATCTCGTGTACATCTTTGGAAAAAGATGAGTCCTGAGTCCTTCTGGACCTCTGAACTGAAGAATATCACCCTGGCCTGATTGAAACACTTCAGTCATTCAACAGACATTTATTGAGCACCAACTAATTGCCAGGCTCTGTGCTAAGTGCTGGATTTACAGAGATGAATATAATGTAGTCTTGCCTTCAAAGAACTCTCAAACAAGGTGATATATGGTGATGAGACAAACAGCCATTAAGTTCGTTGTACTTGACTCTTTTGTAATGCTTCTTTTTCAAAAATATTCAGCAACATGATATTTGGCCTAAAGACTGAATAGAATATCATGTTTAGCAAACAAAGTTTATATTCTTGAAATAGTTCAATATTTGTATATTTAAGGGAACTTACCTATCACTCTGGTTTTACCAAAGAGGGGTGGGAGAAGACATGTTAGTATGACCATCAGAGGCTATTATTTCATACAAGAGAAATCCAAACAAATGAAGTTTAGATGACTGCATCAAACAATTTACTTACAAAAATGGTTGCCAAGGACCTGGGAAGGACACAAGTTGAAATCACTTTTGCTCAGAGGATATAATGGCCAGAAAAATGATATTTTACTAATAAAGAATACACATCATATGATACACTATACAAAATAGGACCTTTATTAAGCTATCACAGGAATGATGTAAACTTGCAGCTTCCTATGCATATGGGTTGTCTATTATGTATTTCAATCAACCATCAAACCACACATCTACTTTATAAACGGAAGTTTAATTTTACTTAGATTTTGAATCAGGAGAGATAGATAACAATAGTTTGAATAGTTTAGAATTCCGTAAATTTTAGATATCAGATAGTACTTATGAGTTAACAGTATTTTAATATCAGATCTTAACTTCTTAAAGCCAGATTGCAACATATAATGGTTACAAGGAAAATAGAAATGACACAATGTCTTTTTTTCAACAGATATGCGCATGCAAATAAGTAATGCTGAGAAACTATTCCTTGAGAAACTCAGTGAAAAGGAATATTGGGAGGAGTACAAGAATGTAGGGAGTGAACGACATGCTAAACTCATTACTTCCTTACAAAATGACATCAACACAGTTAAAGAGAATGCAGAGAAAATGTCAGGTCAGTTGCAACAAAACTAGTTCTAGTTCAATAAAAAACATCTTTAGTAGGGCATACATTGGTGGAAGAAAAAAGTGTGTACTCCCTGAATCATTCATTACTCTGCTGTCAGCACAAGCAGCTGTGAGCCTAAGGGTAAAGGTGGAGGGAGGAAGCAGAAAAATGATCCCAGGACCACCTGTGAAACTGAGAAGGGGAAATAAAGAAATGGGCGGGTGGGGCGTGGTGTGGAGAAGCCCTGTGACCAACTGACTTTAAGAGAGAAGTTTCTGGCTGGATGCGGTGGCTCATGCCTGTAATCTCAACACTTTGGGAGCCTGAGGCTGGAGGATCGCTTGAGCCCAGAAGTTTGAGACCAGCCTGGGCAACATAATGAGACCATATCTCTACAAAAAAATAAAAAAATCAGTTGGGCATGGTGGCTCATGCCTGTAGCCCCAGTTACTTGAGAGGCTGAGATGGGAGGATCAGTTGAGCCCCAGGGTCAAGGCTGCAGGGAGCCGTGATTGTGCCACTGCACTCCAGCCTCGGTGACAGAGCAGACCTTGTCTCAAAAAAAGAAGAAAGAAGCTTCATTCAATGGATGGGGTCTGTATGTTTCCACACTGGGGGCAGGACCAATTCCACTAAGATAGAAGTGTCCTGAGGCCAGGTTATATTAGAAAGAGAATTCACGTGGGGTAAGCTAATTCAGCTTAGCCACGCTGGATAGCCAGAATCATCATGGAGAAATGTCCAAGTCAATTAAGTTGTAACCAGGGAAAAACTGGGGAACAAACATGAGATGAGAAGTGGAAAGGCTATAGAGTAGGATGCCATCAGGAGCAATGAAGCTTACCAGGACTGGATCTGGACACGATGAGGGCCAGCTGTCTGTTACTGAGGCAAGCATAGTGGCTTCAAAGAACACCAGAGACCTAGACACAGAAGAGTCATACGACAGAATTAATGGGGGAAATCTGACCCAAAAGAGTTGCTCTGGGTGGATGATAGTCCAGGACCCAGCTGGAAACAGTGCCCTGCATTGTGGAGGGGTTCCTGTGGGTGGTTCCCATGTTCCCCTGTCAGGGCTTTCTGCTTGTGGACCAATTTGTATGTAAGTTTCTCAGCTTAGGGCCTCTGCACCACAGTGGTCATGTAAACTTGGCCCCATATCAGTCTGGGCTTGGAGTTCCAATTTGTCAAAAGGTTCTTCTTCTGAAAAGAGAATAAGAGTGCCAGCCTGCTACTCCCTCTGTCCCCACTCAAATCCTCTCCCACTATTACCAGTTTCTTATGTAGCAGTCAGAAATATTCTATGCATCTCTCTCTCTCTCTCTCTCTCTCTCTCTCTCTCTCTCAGAAATAGCATGCTATATATATGATGGCTCACTTGCTTTTCACATAACAATAAGAACATCCTTCTAAATCAGTATATCTTAATACTGCCTCATTCTTCCAGTGGTTGCATTGTTTTATCGTACCTTTTTTTTTTTTCCAAGACAGGGTCTTACTCTGTCACTCAAGCTGAAGTGCAGTTGCGTGAACACAGCTCACTGCAGACTCAACTTCCCAGGCTCAAACGATCCTCCCAACTCAGCCTCCTGAGTAGCTGGGAGAGCAGGCATGTGCCACCATACCTAGCTAATTTTATTTATTTTTTGTAGAGGTCTCACTGTGTTTCCCAGGCTGGTAACCATAATTTTTTTGACCAGTTTCTTACACGTAAGCATTAAGGTTGTTTCTAGTCTTTTACTATTACAAATAATGCTGCAATGACTATCCTTACACATATCTCATTGTCCTGTGACAAATATTCTTGTATTTATGTCATTTCACTTATGTGTATCTCTGAAAGAAATGGTTGTGTGAAACAGACTGTTTATTTTACTGTGATAAATGCGGCCCTCCATAAAGGTTGTACCAAGTGGTACTTCTACCAGTATGCATGAGGATACCTATTTTCCCACATCTTCAACAACAGGGGGTGGTATCCAAATTTTTGTTCTTTATCAGTCTTATGGATAGAAAATGGCATTTCATTGTAGTTTTAATTTCCATTTCTTTTATTAAAAGTGACACTGAATGTGTCTTTTCATAACTTCAAGAACCATATGAATTTCCTTTTCCATGAACCATTTGTTCACATCCATCACCCATTTTTCTATTGTGTTTTGGCATTCTTTACATTTTAAAGAAATGAGCTGTTTAACTGTGATATAAATTGCAAATATTTTTCCAATTTGTCATTAGTTTTTTTGTTTATGGGTTTTTTAATGAAGAAATGTTGTGCTTTTAAAGTGCCCAACTTATCAGTCTTTGATTTTATGTTTATGAGATTACGAATGAATTCTCCAATATTTTATTCTACAATTTTTATGGTTTTGTTTTCACATTTAAGTCATTGTTTTTGTGTGAGAGCGCAATCTAACTTCATTTTTTTACCAAATGGTTTTCCAGGTGTTCCAACATCATATATCATCAATTTTTATCCTACTGATTTGAAGTGCTAACTTTATTACACTTTAATTCCTCATATATATCTGAATCTTTTTCTCTACTCTCTATTCTGATTCACTGATCTGCCTACGCATTTGTTAAACAGTAGAATACTTTTTAAAAGTTATTGTTCTGGTAGTTTCCAAATTTTTAAATATTTTAGCCAGTATTTATTTTACATTTTTAAAGTAGGAAAAGTGATCTTCTCATATAAACTTAACCCATTATCTTGATCAGAAGTTTGGATGATTGGGCCAGGCGTGGTGTCTCATGCCTGTAATCACAGCATTTTGGGGAGTCCACGGTGGGTGGGTCACCTGAGCTCAGGGATTCGAGACAAGCCTGGGCAACAGGGTGAAACTCCATCTCTGCCAAAAATACAAAAGTTAGCTGGGTGTGGTGCCGCACACCTGCAGTTCCAGTTACTTGGGAGGCTTAGGTGGGAGGATCACCTGAGCCTAGTAGGCAGAGGTTGCAGTGAGCCAAGATTGCACCACTGCACTCCAGTCTGGGAGGCAAAGACCTTGTCTTAAATTAATGAATTAATTATTAACTAGGATGATTTATTTGACTTTAAATTTTCATGTAGTTGTATTCAACTTTGGGGTGGTAAAAACATTTATATATTGAATTATTTGCTGGTCAAGCCATGGGGCACAGCCATAAGAAAATGGTTGTTATGGGCTTGTATTATTTTCCATTAGTTTTAGGGACTTCTCTTAACCATCAAGGTAGCAGCAGCCACTCCACCAGGGGAACTATTAAAACATGTTGGGGACCACTAACTGGACACAATGAATATGAGCAAGACTCCTAAATCAATCTATCTGAAGGCTTACTGCCATCATCCCCTCTTTTTCTCCTACCTTCTACACAGGCTTCCTTCTTTCATGATTTTCCTGGAATTCTCCTCCAATGATTATGGGGTTTGCGTTAGTTAGGCTGCTTTATATGCAAAGAACAGAGATAGACTCAGGCTATTGTTGGGCGCTGGGAGGTTGCTGTAAGTGAAACAGGATATTAAAACTTTTTAAAGTCTCAGTTTACAATGAGGTAGCAAAATAAGATGAGATACCGCCACATAGATTTGCAATTTGATGAAGAAGAAAACCAGTTTCACACCTTTGACCATCGAATTCCAGTCTACACAAGAAGTTAGAGAGGAAAAGGTTGTTAGAAATTAGGGGACAACTTTTGAAAAGAGCTCTTCGTGTGCTATCAGTCCTACTCTTTCCCCCACCGAGGAGTAGATAAAAGGTAATTCATCCTCCATCTCAAATCTGGGTGAAAGGTCTTCAGAGAGATTTCTCAGATGGTTCAGTATGTGTCCCCTATAGTTTGGGCATTCAGGTCTAGTTTATGACTATCCCTGAGAAATCTAGGGAATACATGGCTGAGGAGCTAACGGCACTGACAGCAGAACACAGAAGAGATGGCTGTTGCCCTGGGCTGGGCCTGCACTCCCGAGTTTGTCAGGGCAGAGAATGGAGGAGTGTTTCTTGTCAACTTGTTATGAGAGAGTGTTGGGGAACAGTCATGTGGAATCTTGCCTGAGACAGCTGACTAGGGTGTTGGGGGCCAGTGATAGGTCCCCAACAGAAAAATAGGGATTTTGTTTGTGTGGGAGGGGAGTACAGAACTGAAAACCAGGGACCAACAGAAAAGTTGTTACCAACTTCTAAGGACAGTACTTGCCCTGGATCAAGGGAATGCAGATGAAATACCATTTGAAATGGGAAGCTTGTCCTCCAAAGAACCTACTAAAACACTCCCATGAGACAATGCATCAGCCTTAAATGCCATCTAGGTCCAGAAAGTGGACATGAGCTTGAGACAGTATCAGTCAAGTGAGAGCTTTCTTACCGTTTTCCATACTCCCCTCTTCCCTTCAGCACTGAGAGAGGAATCATGGAAGCTCAAGGCAGAGGAAATGGCAGCAGGCCCAAGTTAGGAAAGGGGATTGGCATAACTTTGAAAGAAGCTTAAATTGTTCCAATATTCTAGACATATTAATTACTTGTTGGAGGACCTTTTGTATCACAAAGAAATCAGAAGTGATAGGATTTACCATATATTTTATTGAGCAGAAGTCAATAGCCTCACAGTATGAGTTTTAAAGGAAAGAGACAAAAATTAAGTTGCTTGACTTCCCAAGAGTAATGCTTATTGGCTGTAACACAAATAGGAAAGGGAAGACTGAAGACAGAATAATATCAGCGGTGGTTCTAGGCATGGCTCCTCCCCACATTTCTCTCCCCTGATCTGTGACTGTCCCTCTCACTGACACCACTGCTTTGCTCTGCATACGTGTACCCCTTCTCTTCTACTTCCCACAGAACAGTTCTTGCAGTATTCTCCAGCCCAGTTCTAAAGACAGCTGGTGCCATCATCCACCTCATCAAAGATGACCAACAGTCTTTGTCAATGCCACCTCATGGGTCACCAGTCAGCCCCGGCACAAACTGTTCCTCAGTCACCTGCCTTATTCAGCAGCCTCCGCTGAAACCCAGGGGTGGGAGCAGAAAACACTTAGATCTGCTTCCCGGAACTTTAGCTAGAATGGGATATTGGGATACCAGTATAGAAAACAGTCACTAATATATCCAGGCCAAGGCTACTTCTCAACAAAAGGAAAAGGAACCTCAGATTAAGCCCAGGAATACAGAAGGTGAGAGGTTATTACAAGTCATTAGATAACTACAGTCACAGAGCATTTTTATTTTTGTCCTTTACTGGGGCACAGGACAGGGATTCTTAAGAGTTCTTTGTACACTAACAGTGAATTTTTTTAAATTAGGTTCAATACTCCTTACAAAAAAGTAACATTGATTCTTTGAATGTTACTTTTCTTGCCTCTAAAATCAGAGTCCCTAGGTGATCTCCAAGAGGACTTATATTTCTAGCATCTGCTTATCCATGTTTTGTCTAATCCTTACAAGTTCCCTTGAGTTAGATATAATTAGGCCAGTTTAAAGATAAGAAAACAGAGGCCCAGAGAAGTTAACTGCCTTAACCAAACTCACAATGTTAGTAACAAATGGAACAGGGATTTGAACCAAGATGTGTTAGGCCCCAAATCCATCTGCTTCAAATAGTCCCCTGAATCTGATTCAGTGAGTTGGGGCGGCTCTAAAGAGATTGCTACCTGGCCAGTGTTTCAGCTAGCTCCTGCTCAGTTTGCTCCAAAAGGGCCTGAGAAGAGGCCACTGCCACAGGAGAGGGTCACCACAATGGACCTATGTGACCCCAGAAGTCAGAGAAGAGTAGATAACAAAGCTCTCAACAGGCCATGGAGGAGTAAACCAAAGCAGAGCCAGACACAGCAGGAAAGGCGGAACAGTGCAAAGCAAACTTTAGCCAGTACAGTTTGGAGTCAGCTTCTGGGAAGGGACCCCATTAGATGGGATGTCTGAGAAGCAAGGAGTCTTCTGCACAGTCCTAATCTCCCAAGCTCCCACTTGCAGTGTCTGGAGCTTTTACAAGGAGACTTTTACATGCCCCCACTTTCTTTGGCTGCATTCACCAATAAATGATTGTTACCAGAAGCATCATCTGAATCACAAAGGGTAACAATGAGATTCTCACATTCACCCTTGTGCTGAGTACTGCATTTTTAAGAAGAAAAACGGTCCATACAGTTTTATATGGAAGTTAGAAGAGAATCAAATATGAGTATTGCTTTTTCAGTATTAATAAGGCAATAGAAAAAGCTACATCTTTAGAGTGTATTTGATAATCTATTTTTAAATTATTTATAGCAAAGAATTAATATTTCATGTTATCAAGCTCCAGGTTTTATGGTTTCTTTTAGATGCTAAGAATGTAAAATCTATTATGCTCCTGATCCACTGCAACTTTTAGATTGATTATTGTGTTTTGTAGGGTAGAAGTTCAAATAAATAACCAACATTAAGCTGATGGGCTGGGGTGAATTGAAAAAAGAAATTCCATCAGAAATGAGTTTGAAAGGATTAAAATATTCATGAGATTAGTTTAAATAAGTAAGAAAAATGCAGGCTGTATAAACGGGAATATGTAAGTTGGAATAATAAAGCCTTCCACTTCTTATTCTCTAGATGTCAAATTAGACTAACTCCAAAAACCTAATGAATTCTTGCTTATGAACTACTGCCTCACTCTAGTCCATCTCTGTTAGAGGCAGAAACTGCCCTCTCCTGACCACCTTTTCTGGCCACCCCACAAGTTAGGAGAATGCTCCCTTTCTCTCTCTCTACTCCCTCTTCCCTTCCCCACCAAAGCTGCCAGAGAAGAGGAAGAGCCAATATTTGCTTTCTGGTGCTGAAGCCTCAGATCACTGCCCACCAAAGACTTGCAGTTTACCAAGTTTGATTTTCTTCAAAATATTTTTTGGCATGTATTGTGTCCCAGGGATACAGTAATGAAAAGATATGGAAGAGAAATGTTTACTTTCTGCTCTCAGCATTTTCATCTAATAGGAGAAACTGCTATGCTAGTACAAAGTATAGATGAGGGCTGAGTAACTCTTGCCCAGCTCTCTGGCCAGAGTTCCGGTGGTAGATGCCTTAGTTGGGCTCCTGATCAATTGAAAGACCAGACCTGCAGATGTCCTTCCCTACAGCATAAAATCCCTGAGGGTTCTGCTTTGGCTGACTTGGTCTGTGAAGAAAATTTTCCCTTTGAAACAATGCCCTAAGTCAGGGGTCCCCAATCCCCGAGGCCACAGACCAATATTAGTCTGTGGCCTGTTAGGAACCGGGCCACACAGCAGGAGGTGAACAGTGGACAAGCAAGTGAAGCTTCATCTGTATTTACAGCCGCTCTGCATCACTTGCATAACTGCCTGAGCTCCACCTCCTGTCAGATCAGCAGCAACATTAGATTCTTTTAGGAGCGCGAACCCTATTGTGAACAGCACATGTGAGGGATCTAGGTTGCATGCTCCTTAGGAGAATTTAATGTCTAATGATCTGTCACTGTCTCCCATCACCCCCAGATGGGACCATCTAGTTACAAGTAAACAAGCTCAGGGCTCCCACTGATTCTACATTATGGTGAGTTGTATAATTATTTCACTATATATTACAATGTAATAATAATAGAAATAAAGTGCATATGTAATGCACTTGAATCATCCCAAAACCATCCCCCTTTCCCACCCAGTCTGGGGAAAAATTGTCTTCCACGAAAACAGTTCCTCATGCAGAAAAGGTTGGGGACTGCTGTCCTAAATGGAAATAAGGTTCTATAGTACTGTTAGTACAATACTGTTGTTTAGCTGTAGAATAAGTTTAGTAAGCCTCTGAACCTGTCCAGAAATCTAGCAGCCATGATTTTCAACATCATTTGTATGGGAAAACACTTTCTGAATTCCAAATAATTGTCTGCCTATGTTATATAAATAAAGCACAACTAATGGGAACATATAACATGGAACTAATAAAACACAACTAACCTTGATTTTTCCTAGATTAACTCATTTGGAGTAGTACAGTTTCCTCATTTTTCACATTGCTGACTACCTAACTCAGTCCCTGATTACCTCCTCAAAAAAAGCTTTCTCTGATCACCCAATCTAAAATTGAGAATTTTAGTTTTTCTTCCTCACACACATCACCACCTGAAATATTATTTATTTACCTGTTTACTTATTTATGATCTGGCTTCCCCATTAGAATGTACATATCACAAGGACAGGGTTTTTTTCTGTCTTAACCAGTAATATTTGCAGTGTCTTACATACTGTTTGGCATACAGAAAGAACTTGATAGTTATTTGTTGAAAAAAGGAGTGAACGAATTGGACTCATCTGTCCAGCTTTCTTATTCTCCATTCTTTAAAGCAGCCTTGTGCTGTCACAGTGTCTCATAGTCCTTAAGAAGGAATATTGATTACATGATCTCCAAGCATCTTTCAAGGCCTAAAATTTTATGATTCTTTGTTCTCTCAATAATGACATTTGTGAGCATACGAAAATCTTGAGAGGACAGAGAATCCTGTGCTTCATTTTCTGTCTGTCTTTCTCACCTGAGCCTAACTTATGACCAGGTCTATCAACTTTCTTAGCACCCTTACTCCCTCCCTACTCTCCTCTCCTTGTTCTGTCTTTCCTGCCCCAGGAAACACATGCCAAGAATAGTCGAAATCTAGTTAGATGAAGTCAGACTTAGAATGCTACTCGAATAGATAATAAAGTCTTCATATTTCTGTTGTGGAGTAGTAAGTTGTGTGTATGAAGGGTAGACTGCCACACAAATGCTAAACTGTTTGAAATTCTGTCTTTGGAGAGACAGTCCTTTGAAAATACAAATGTTCTTGTGTAAGAGGTCTTAAACTAATTCACATTAACGTATTAGTAAATTCTTAGAGTCTATCTTCCAATTGGAGGAACTAGATTCTTCAGTAAAAATGTACCCTGAAAATTCAGAAAAAAAAAATGTGTAGAAAGGAGAACTGAGGATGATGGAAAATAAAATTTACTGACATCATAGTTTTACCTAGAATCAGCCTTGATAAGGCTTTTAATTTTCTTTTTTTTTTTTTTTTAAAAAAAGAACACTATAAAATCACTTTGGAAGATGCTAGAAAGAAAATAACCAAAGAAACTTTGTTGCAACTGGACCAAAAGAAGGAATGGGCCACACAGGTATAATTCAATTTTCTTAAAAACAGAACAAAACAAACATTTTCCTGCTATTTTTTCTTTGGGTATATTATAGTGGTTAAGAACTTTGGATAGATTCTCAGATTTGGGATGCTCAACCTGTAATAATGGCCGTAACACAATATTAAAATAAAAGTTTTGAATGATTTATAAAATGAAATATAATTTGTCTAAAAAATACTTTCTTTTATATCCAAACCTAGGAATGTGGATTCTGAAGGTAGACAGTTTGAGTTCAAATCACAGTTCTACACTTACTGGCTGTATAATGAATTTGTTACTTAGCTTTTCTGGGCTTCTGTTTCCTAACCTATAAGATGGAGAATAATACTAGTATTTACCTTAAAGAAATAGTGTGAGGATTAAATGAGATGATTTAAGTACTATAATCTCTCACAAGAAACAAGAGCTCAGTGAATTTTTTCTTTTTTCTTTCTTTTTTTTTTTTTTTTTCGAGGCAGGATCTTGCTCTACTGCCCAGGCTGGAGTGCAGTGACACAATCTTCACCTCTTGGGCTCAAGCAATCCTCTCGCATCAGCCTCCTGAGTAGCTGGGACTACAGGTGTGTGCCACCACTCTTGGCTAATCAGTGAATTATTAATCAGTTATTTTTTTAAGTATAAGAAATATAGGTTGAATATCCCTTATCTGACACGTTTCAGATTTTGAATTTTTTCAGATTCTGGAATATTTGTATTATACCAGTTGAGCATCTCAAATCCCCAAATCCAAAATCCAAAGAAGTCCGGGCTGGGTGCAGTGGCACTCTCCTGCAATCCCAGCACTTTGGGAGGCCAAGGCGGGTGGATTGCTTGAACTCAGGAGTTTGAGACCAAGCTTGGGCAACAGGGCAAAACCCTGTCTCAGCTAGTCCCAGCTCAGTAGTGCCAGCTACTTGGGGCACTGAGGTGGGAGGATTGCTTGAGCCCAGGAGGTCAAGGCTGCAGTGAGCCGTATCTGCACCACTGCACTCCAGCATGGGCAACAAAGTGAGACCTTGTCTCAAACAAACAAACAAACAAAACTGAAAAAGTGAAATTCTCCACAATCTGAAATTTTTTGAGTGCCAACATGATGCTCAAAGGAAATGGTCATTGGAGCATTTTAGATTTCAGATTCTCAGATTTTGCATGTTCAACCTGTAATAATGGTTGTAACAAAATATTAAAATAAAAGTTTTGAATGAATTATAAAATGAAATATAATTTATCTAAAAAGTACTTTCTTATATATCTAAACCTAGAAGAGTATACTCTACATTGCTGGCACTTTAAAAATTTGGGACATAATATATTTTTGAGGCATAATTTTCAATCTTGTATGTTCTCTAATTCCTTTGTTTTTACACAAAATACCTGAAAAAAAAA